TTTCATAGTCGTATCATAAACCTCACAGTTCATACCCTACCACCCCCCCCGGTTGCTGCATTTCACTAGTACCCCCACCCCCCCCCCCCCCCCCCCCCCGAAAACAGGTCCTGGACCCAAACTCCTATATTGTATGCATTGGAAGCTTACCTTGATGTGCTTAGCATCGAGAACGACGTGCTTGCCATTCTTGGATCAGAATTCAGCGCGGCAGATGTCGGTTATTATATCAGTGCCGACTTCACGACTCGGGATTATCTCCCATTGTTTGTGAAGCAGTCGCAAGCTTTCCAAGCCGACTATCCCAACTGCCCAAGCAGTTAAATGGTAGAATATTAATAATTCTTGTCCATATCAACCCATCACTCTCTTACATTCCCGTGTACGAGTTGTGAGTTGTACATATTGCTGTACCTAAACTTAAATCTAAATATTGGAAAGAAATGACGTCTATGTACTAAAACATCACTGAACCGGGCGCCAGCAAAGGAGTTAAGCATTGTATCCGATCATAACAATCATATTCCTGCACCGTAGACGAATTGATCAATCAGAAAAGGTAACCTTACAAAATGGCCGAGTTGATATAGACAGGCTTGTAAACTTGACAATACGGACGGAAGATCGCGGACGGAGAGCTCAAGTGGCTAGACACTCTTCTTTTCTTTCGCTATTCATGAATTATCCTACCGCCATGTATGCTAACACAAAGGTCAAGTAAGTGTTCATTCACTCAAGATTTCGTGGGCAGGCTGGCTGAGAGCGTCGTGAAACTATTAGCCCGTACAAGTTAATCGGCAGGATGATTCAGGTTTCGAGGTTCCCGTCGAGCTTTTTACTTCGGTGCTGGTCTCTAACAAAATCGGCGATATGGTCGTCGTGATGAGGGCGAGTTGGGGGACCTGACAAATGTCTCGATGGGGCCGCTTGTTCATTGTTACTTTTCCCTGTCCCTACGAAGTTGGCCACTCCTGGGACGTATTCGGCAACTTGATTTATGAATCAGAGAGTGAGTACATGGGCTCTTTGGAGTGTTTGGGGGTTGGGCTGCCACATGTAGGCAGTGGTGTAGGTAGCGACACTGTGGCTGATCGAGCCGCCTGCGCAACTACCTAAGTAACTAACCTTTCTCGATCAGACTGGGACTGCTAGTTTCCAGGGAACCAGTACTGGGTTGGCGAGCTGCTTGCGCTGCGGCGCCTAGTTGATCTTGGAATGTTGGCTGGGCAGAGTGAGAACCTTGGGGTGTTTTCGAAGGCATGGTCGACGGACTGAGCCACAGAGTTGTGTGCGCGAATAGGTCAGGCTATCTCAAGGGTGGTGATGTCCGGGGCGGCGGTTGAGAAAAAGAGAAGGGAGAAACAGACTCGGAGATACTCTGTCCATCTTGGTAACGTCTCTGGATTTGATAATCGACTGGTATATAGATATATATACATGCATTACTTGGATGTCCATACCGATGATCTGTAGGCTGCTCAGGCTGGCTCTCGGCTCTCTACTTTTCGCGATTGGGACCTGTCAGTCGCATTCGCGGCGTGCAGCTTGACCTACGTCATTGCGCAGCCACTGCAATGAAACTCGGTTAAGTCGGAAGGCTGCCGAGATGTACATGCCTACGTACTGTAAGTACATACGGTACCTAGACCAGCAGGTACCTACGTAGTACATAGCACATACATGTAGGTACTTAAGTACTCTTGGTAAGTCCAATCGTAATCCCTACTATGTACCTACCTACTATCGCGACAATGCAAACCCCTCAAAATGCCCTCGTACCCCGCCAAGACCCTTCCCCTACCTACCTGCTTTGGACTCACTCGCTCTGCATGCGCGTGCGAGCCAGCACCGGCCCGGCGTCGCAACATCAATATCCACACATAACGGCAACGATGGCGCCCATCCCCATCACCATTGTCACCGGTTTTCTCGGCTCCGGTAAGACCACGCTGCTGCTCAACCTCGTCCCGCAGCTGCGCGCCACCAACCCGGCCTACCGCCTTGCGCTCCTCAAGAACGAATTCGGAGACGTCGCCATCGACTCCCAGCTCGCTGCCAGTAGCGCCGTGTCAGGTGTCCAGGAGCTACTCAACGGCTGCATCTGCTGCAATCTTGTCGGCCAGCTAGGCCCCGCCCTCGCCGAGCTCCGCGACACCGTCCGCCCTGACCGTATCGTCATCGAGACCTCGGGCTCTGCCTTCCCCGCAACCCTCGCCATCGAGGTAAACCGCATTGCGCGCGAGACCGGGGGCTTGTATGTCCTCGACGGCGTTGTGAGCGTCATCGACGTGGAGAATTGGTCCGGGTACGAGGATACTAGTTTCACCGCTCGGCTCCAGGCTCGCTATACCGACCTCATCATCTACAATAAATGGGAGACTTGTGATGAACGCCGCCTGGATGAAGTGAGAGACCGTGTTGGCGATCTGGAGGTCGTCATTCCCTGGATAAAGAGTGATAAGGGCCGCGTTCCTGTCGACATCATCTTTGGCATTGACGGAGGACTCGCGCGTGCCTTGACCGAGGGCGATTTAGCTGCGAATAGCAATGAGGACAACGGACACGGCCATGGTCATGATCACCAATCCGAAGTCGAGGTTCTCTCGGTCACGCTACGGGGCCCTGAATCCGCTGTTGTCGACGAACACAAGCTCATGGTGTTGCTTAAGACAGCCCCTAAGGATGAAGTGTATAGGATTAAATCGGTGTTAACGATGCCGTCATCAGCGCAGATTTACGATTCGGATCAAAATAATTCTACGTCGACCCTACCGTCAGATTTACCCACGTGCACCAGGCAAATCCTAAACTGGGCTTTTGGGCGATGGACTTTCACACCTATGGCGAAGTCTATTAATGAGCATCATTCCAGTGACGGGGTGATTCTGCGCATGACTCTCATTCTCGCTTGTTACGAAAGCGCGAAGTGGAAAAAGAAGCTAGAAGCGGGCGGGTTGCTGGAGCTAACTGGCGAGTCAGGCGAGCTGACCGTAACAAGAATTGCGTAGACCCCCGGACACCCCAGGCGAAAAAGAATACAATCAAGATAACAGACAATGTGACTGGCCAACAGCCTATTATATAACTTTAGGCCGACATGACACAGTTGCAGCAGAGGTGCAACACCCGTTTCTACAGGGTTTCCAGTGTAGGGTGTCCAGGATCGAGATCGGGAGCGGCATATAAAGGGAGAAGAGCCATTCGATCCACTCAATAAATGTACCCATCAATACTGCCTCTATTGACTAAACTCGATCACTGCTTGGGCGCATCTGTGTCGAAACGGCCGGGACAGGGTTTTGCAGTGCAGCGCTGCAATACATAGAAGAGAAGCATTAACTTTTACCCACGACGATGAGGAGTAACATTTCATGGGAGTATTAGGACTTCACAGCACACTGCTGTAAATAGATGATGTGCACATGATGACATCTAGAAGTAGAAGGGGACATCATAGAATCACTAAAAATTTTATTGGTACTGCATAGTTTCTAGGATACCTCGCACAAAACATTGAGATAGAGCAAATGTAATGAAAGATGTGAAATAATAATGTTGCCTCGTTTTGCCTTGCTATAATGATATCAATCATCAAATTTTGTAGTTTCCTGATATCTAATGTTACTTCATCTGCCTTGGTGACTCGCTCCGTTTATCCGTGGACAATAACTGTTTTTTACGCACAATATCTAATGTACATAAGAGAGAAGAGGAAATCAAAAGCGATAGGAGCATTAGAGTTCAACAAGACAGCCAAGTACAGCAATATCTACTCTGACAACTGAGAATGGGGTAAAAGTTTGCTGAACTGGTTTGCTCATTCTCGCCTACCTAAGTAGAAAATATCCACACCAAGCTATTCTATATGTTATACATGAATTGAACCGTCATTCCTCTCTGGGTATAAATTCAAGCCGCGAAGAGCCTGCGTAGTTGATGTGTCCGTTATTTTCGACCTTAATTCTTCCCACCCTCCCATGGTAGTCTCATCGTTTCGTTTCCGGGCCTTCGTCATCCATTTTCCCACAATAATTCGTAACCAGTATGCCAACTGCGGGATAATGTACCCCTATTGCCTCTTTGACCATCTTCCTTGTGTACACGTCTCGGCGTGGCATTTCTTTCTGCCCATTCTGTTTAAGTAAAAGAACCCCTTTAGCGCCAAAGGTCGCGATCGCCTTTCCTTGGACCCTGGCTGCTGCTTGGTCGAGGCCACTCGTCTTTTGGCTGTCCAAAACTCGACGTACTACCCTTGCGTCCATGGCCACCCGTATTATCACCTGGTACACTTAGAAACCCACCATGACCGTCACCCTGTATAATACTCATTCTGGCCCCCCCGCCAGCCTGCCAACCTGCGCCGATATCTGATAGACCATAACTGCTGAGTGGTCGCCCGCTTGCTGAGCTTCCCGACCGTCCATGTCGCCCTCGAGCAGCGCCAGCGCCACCATAGGCATCAAATGGATCCATACGCGTACTGCCCCAGTCTAGATCATCATCACCCTTGGTAAAGATTTCGAGAGTCTGATTTAGAGACAACATGCCCGGGCCGCGTGGGCCGTTGAACGCTGACGCGAACGGATTATTAGAACTGAATCGAGACGCGGGGTTGCTGAAGCCTCCTACACTCGACGGCGACAGGCCTCCGCTTCCTGCATTGAACATGCCGGTGCTGCCCGCGCTACTAGGGCGCTGTGGGCTGCCCGCAAACCCGGGCATAGGTGGCGGCAAGCCCAGAAGTAAATCAGGAAATGTTTGGTCCCGCACGTAGATGGCTGCGAGGCGGGGCAGACCACCTGCAAAGAGCGATGATGCTAAATAATTGTAATACCCGGCAGTGGTACTCGCGTATCCTGAGGATCCCGGAGAGGCTGTAATCTCGTAACGCAGTGTTTCGAGAGCCCAGTTGGTTAGTGGTGGAATAGGAACTCCGTGAGATGGGAACGGAGAGTCAACTTGCTCAGTGATGGACAGTGTGACTAGACGTGGAGCGTGCGCCAAGACATTATGGAGAGAGGTAGGGTGTACCCCGGTATTTGACAATGACAGAACCTTCAAGCTATGCTTGACGTCGTCTCTAGATAGGTACGCAACCAGGCCACTAGCCGTGATGCGAGGCACATCAGTGAGGACCAGTTCCTCAACAGGCGGGAAGGCTGGTAGGGTATCGTTATACCGGAAGAAGTCATCATCAAGCATCCTGCAATCTGAAGCTTTGAGAGCACGTAAGCTTCGCAAGGCGGCGAAGACGTGTCGTAGGACGGCAGGATCCATGTTAATCCTGCCTAGCTCTAGAACTTCAAGGTTTGGCCATACGCTGCCGCGGCTCAGTGTCTCGAGACTGCGCTCGCTCCCGGCCAGATACGTCATTTTCCGCAGACCGGGGCACCTAGCTTGAACCTCGAGCTTCAGGGTATGATGGGCAGGGTCATCCATGAATAGGCCCTCAGGAAGATCGACGTATTTAAGGTTGGGCAGTACAGCGATAGTCCTAGCAAGCAGAGGGGCGTTCGACTCTCGAAGCATGTAAGGGGTCTTGAAGAACTGCACCAGCTTTCCCAAACGGGTGGGGTCGTCGCGCAGGGTACGGCATAGCAGATGCAAGCGGGCACCAGCCGGGTCTTCAGGGATACCATTGCGGTCGAAGCGACTCTTACGTTTGCGCCTCTCGGAAAGGTCGATCTCTCGTTCGCAGTAATGGACAGAATCTATACGAATGCTATGGTACCTATGCGGCGAGAGACGCGGTTAGTCTGAGAAACAGGATCAAAACAGCGCAGGCGAGGCTGGGGTAGTTAGACGCACATGAGCTGTATGGCAGACGTTCTCCAGGGCTTACAGACCTGGCTGGCATGAGCCAGGTCGCGTAGATCACAAAGCATGCAGGCATCTTCGACGGCACTCCTCTCGCAGTTTTCGTAAGATTCATCACAGCTATGGGGGCAGACAAAGGCGAAGACCCTCTCGAGAATGGGAGCGGGCAGCTGGAGCCAGTGCACAAAGACGCGACCTCTCTCGGCGGCGTAGTTATATTGCTGTTCGTGACGGGGGTTGTAGAGGCGGTACTTGTCGCGCTCGACATCATCGTGGGCTTGCTGTTGTGACCTCTTGGACAACTTGGGGTCTGACGTCGACTTCTTGCTCCGACGGAAGAATTTCATGGGGGCGAACTTCATGCTGGGCAAATGACGGCTGTCTTGATTGGATTGGACGGTGAGCAGGGAAGCGACGCACAGATATGAGGAGTGTGCCGAGTCTTGGAGCGCAGGTTATTGTGTGGGCACATAGGTAAGTACATGTGTAGGTACCCTTAGAGACCTATGCATAGGGCCGTGCAGTGTGCAAGTAGGTACGTCGTGAGTAGCTATGATGATGATGAAAATGATGATTATGATGGTTACTGTAGGTATGGTGGATTGTTGAGGCGATGCTCTGTTGCCAAGACATGTGTTGGTAGCCTGTAGGTAGGTATCTAGCTTGGATAGTTAATAGGTCTTGGCGTATTTCGCGGAATAAGTACAGCACGGTACAACGCACATAGGTAGGTACGTAGTAGAGAGAGCGACAAAAGGATAGATCAGAAGGATAAGGTAGATCAGACTGCTTTCGAGGCAGCTACCTAGGCCAAGACAGTGCCTCGTTTGTGACGTTTGTGACGTTTGTGGTATCGTCGATATCGTCGTGCAGAGTCGTGGGTGGCGGCAGCAACAACAGCAGCAGATGGTTTGTTGGCGGAATCCACCTCCTCCTTGTTGTGAGTATGGGAAGAAAGAGGGGAAGAAAGAGGGGAAGAAGAGAAAGAGGCTGAGAATGCACATTCGTGAGGTTCTAACAGCTGTCATTTCAAAGTAGGTAAGGTAGGTATGTACGGGTAGTAATACCGTATATCAAACAGTATATACTATCCATCATGTACTGTAGTATTATGTACATTGCACCTACATGTACTGTAGGTATGTGTGTAGGTACATAGGTTTGTATGTAGGTACAACATGTGCATTGGAGATACCGGTAGGTACCTATCATCGTGTAGATAAAGTGCTGACCAATCTTCGCAAGGACAAGCTTTCCCCATGCTGTCATGTCATGACTTGACAGGACCTTTGGCTCGACGTATTGACTCGGGTACCTTCAAGCAGCGAGTATCATCGTACCGTACCCAAGTACCTACATAGGTACCTAGGTGTATACCTATATGCCCATACTTACTTAACACGCAAACAATCATACTCGCTCACTGGACACAGCCAAATCCTGTATGGGTTGTCTCTATGTAAATCCACATAACTTAGTATTTATATTTATTAGATACTACCTATAGCAGATGATTTTTTTGTATGCGCGCGTGTGCGTATGCTTAATGCTGGGTCTTTGATAGTACATTCGATACATGGATTAAAATGACAAGGTGAAACAAAGCAACATGAAGCACCGAAACGAGGAGCAGCACACCACCCGCTAATGCATATGTGCCATGCATGTACTATGCAATCTGAACTGAAAACCAATCATGCTGTCAGCTACCCGCTTCTCTACTGCCCGACTGCCATACCCGGTAACTGCTTAGCGTCTTCGAGCCTGAGCATCCATATCGTTCCGTCCCGTCGGTAAGGCACTGCAATGCTCTTCTTGTGAGCAGCTATGTGTTCGAGTCTGCACTAGCTGCCTAATTTCCATTTGGCTGCACGGCCTCCAGAGGTGACGCCGGGCCGGACACGGTAGATTTCGTTCGTAGTGTTAACGGGAACGGATATTCGTCGGGATCCTCCTCGTCCCTTAATGTCACCAGTTAGCTTTGCAGGAAGAGGACCGATGATGAATCAAGGTAGTTAACTCACGGTAGCTTCCACGCAACGTAATCCTCGGTGCTTAATCCTTCTCTTCCCTCCTGTAAACTGGCAAAATCACCTGGCGTCATCATACCGGCCCGATCACGAGGTGAGCCTGGTACCGAGAACGGTCGTGATATCTTCTGCTCTACCCCGGGAATAAAATCTCCTTCCTCCTCTTCGCCCTCAAATGACGCCGGATATGCTCGCCGCAGCGCTAGCTGCCGTGCCTTGACATATTCCATGCCCATCCTCTTCCAATCGAGCAGGTCACTGAGCCGCTCCGTACGATTTCGCTGGTTGATACGCTGCCGGCGGCTCTTCTGGCAGAATTCAAACATACATGATGTCAGCTGGTTGACCGAGTCGTCGACACCCTTGTTACGTCGATCTACAATATAAATGCCGTAGTCGCTCGAGTTCTCGATTAATTCCTCCATATAGCAGCCGAAGCCGGATAAGTTTGTCGTAATACTGGGGACTCCCATGACCGTACACTCAGCTGGTGTATAGCCCCAAGGTTCATAGTATGATGCGAAAACGCCTAGATTAGTACCACGCACAAAGTCATCGTAGTCCAATGGTAGGATGGGGTTTGAGGAGTTCAAGAATTCGGGGTGAAAGACAATCTTGACCCTATCTGTGGGATGGTTGAAAAGCTGTACTCGGCGGATCTGGTTGAGGATCGGATCCTCTTGATCGTTAACCATGTTATGTGTCACAATGGGGGGCAGCCCGTGACGCTTCATGGCGAAGAGTCTGCGTCTCAGTACCACGCGATCGGCGCTTGTGATGAGCTCTTTCTCATCAGGCATTGTATCACCGTCGTGCCACCTGAGGGACCGCTCAAAGATCCGTCGACCAATGCCACGTTCGATGACGTCAACCGTGTCTCTGAGCGATTTGACCACTGCCTGGCCCTTGAGGGCCTCGACAGTAAGGGACGTAGTTTGTGCCGGCATGATGATGAAGGCTACGACGGTGGTCTTGCTACCCGCGCTTTTCAGCCTGTGATTCAGACGCGCGAGAGACTCAATGAACATGTCAACACCTTTGTTACGAAACTCATAGCGTCCGGCCGTAAAGAAGTAAAGTGTATCGTCGGGAACAAAGTCATAGTGACCATAGAAATGGCCTCGCACAAAGTCATGGATCTTCTCCTTGGCCTGCTGATGCAAGTTCTGAAACTCGTGTACAGCAGAGAATTTGGTGACGTTAAGGCCATTGGGCAACACACCGTCGGGCTTGCGCTTGAGCAAGTGTTCGCTCTCGAAGGCAGTGATGTGAGAGACGGTGGTAAAAACGTCACAAGAATGCGCAGCTGCGCGTTCAATGCAGTAACGATGGTAGATGCCTCGTTTCCCGGCTTCGGCGTCTACATCAAAATTTTGGAGATTGTTATAGAAGTCCACAGAGCCGGCGCACAGGTATCGCCCAAGCAGAGTAGCATGAGTGGTAAAGACCGTGGTGACATCTATGTGACGTTTCTTGCAAAGCGGTAACGCGACACCCGCCAGCCATTCATGGAAATGGGCAATGACAGCTTTCCTCTTCTCATGGCATACATACTGTGCTGTGTTAGTTAAGTTCGTCGCCACGCGCCAGCGCCCGGGGGGGGGGGACCCATAGACGAAACGTACCTCGCCCAAGAACCACGCAACAAGATATCCAAAGACAATTGCCTCGTTCGTCTCATCGTCGCCCGGTGGGGAAGGTATGCTTGCTACATTCCAAAGGTCGGCTTTCCATTCGTCCATATACTTGTATGCGGTCTTGGTGTCGATGAGCAGCACGCGGGGAGCACCATCTATCAGCCATCTGCCATACAAAATGCCAATACCCCGGTTTCGCATGGCCTCAATGCTTTTGGCAAGCTCGGGGTTGGCGGGTTCAAGCTCCTCTACCTCGACAGCGGCCTAGATGAGATGGTTAGCCCGGCTGTGACGCGGTCGACTGGCGTCCCAAGGTAGTGACCGAGGCGCGACTTACCGATTGGTGGTTGAGGGGGCCTATAAGAGTATAACGATCGCCATACTCGGCGGTGGTGACGGGAGCTTTGGACTTGATGACAGAGTAGATACCGCCAACTGGTGATTGGGTTAATCATCACGGGGATTGCAGGTAGTAGCGCATGAGCTTAGGACCTACCGCGATGAGCGACCTCGGTAGCGATTTCGAAGAGAATATGATTCTTGATCTCGCGCGCAGGTCGATCCCCATTGTCGCTTGCCATAGCTGCGGTTGGCGACCGAGACTCTAGTGTCTCGATGAAGAGAAACAAAGAAAGAAAAAGAGAGGCGAAACTGGAGGCGAGCTTTGGTAAGAAGAGTCGAGCTCGGTGCTAGAAAGTATAAAGAATTGCGACGTTCGTCCTTTCTACCAGTAGTAGAGGACACGAAAGGACTCACGAAAAGACTCACAAAAGAAGTCACGAAAGTAGTCACAAGAACGAATGACGAGCCAACTCAACTGGCAGAGGTTTTCACTAGGTTAAATACCTACTCAGGCATGCACGGGCTCAATGCCAAGCCGAGTTGGGGGAGAAGGGGGAGAGGAGCAAGAGTGGAGGAAGCGAAGGCGGAGGCGGAGCACAGGGCGGGGAGCTCTAATGGTAATAATCATGGAGCAAGAACGAACGTGTACTAAAAAGAATTGTTCGACGGCGCTCGTTTGACACTATACTACTACCACTACTACCACTACTACCATTAATTACTATTACTAAGTACATACCTGAACGATGTGCATACCTAGGTACCTACATCATGGGGCTGTAGTGTAGCCCTACATACCTACTGAGATAGTAGGAGTTGTGGGACCCACCCTGGACATTGTATCTAATTCTACCCCTCCCTGGCTATAGTGCTAGCTAGAATTACTTACCAATAATAACTATACCTTTTTAGCTTGCCTGTATTATTTGGTACCCCTATCCCGGATTAAATCCATTATTACTGTATTACGTTTTATTGATTCTATTAAATAGATATTAGATTTATTATCTTTTAATGATTTTAAATTGATTAATATTACTTTTATCCTTAAATTTTTAAATACAAGTTTTATAACTACTATTAGGCTAATATAAGTGCACCTATTTTTATTGGATATTATAAATCCATTTAAAGTTTTTAAGTATTATAAACTTTACCCTTAAGGATAGTTAATTATTATAAGATTAATTAACTTATCCTTTTATTATAACCTTTAATATTATAGCATTATTTTATATTATAAAGCTTATTAATCTTATTATTATTATTTAATTTAAAATCTATATCCTTTAAATTAATAAATTTCCCTTTAATAAATAGTAATTATTATATCCCTATTTAGGACCTTATTATTTAATTATTAAGGTTTTTATTTAACGCATCTCCCACTTGACCTGACCACCCAATTGAGCTGGCCACCCCCTTAACCTATATAAAAGTCCAATGTTTCAATTTGGAATAACTTAACTAATATTAGTCCTACAATTTGATAATTAGTACCATTAGATCTGTTATTTAATAAGGAATCCAGCGGTATTTTTTACTATTTTTTATAAAATTTATTGAGCGAGATATTAAGCAATACGCTAAAAGGGCGCTAGGTAAGGATTATTTTAGCGCTTACTTTAGCGTATTGCTTAATAACTCCACTAATATAAGTCATATAAACTAGTGGAGGGTACCGTTAAATAGCTCTTTTTATTACGAATCTAATGGTATATCTTATTATTTTATACGATTAATATCCATAGAGTTATTAAATTATCACGTGATTAACGCACCGACGTTTTTTATATAGGCTAGGGGGGTGGCCAGGTCAATTGGGTAGCCAGGTCAAGTGGGAGATGCGTTAATTGTTTTATAATATTAATTAGTTTATTATAAAAGTAGCCTTTATTATTATTTATTTTAATAAATCTTTTTTTATATTTATTATTAAAGTTAATTCCTATATTTATATTATTAAATTAATTTTTAAATTTATTATTTATAATATTTAATATTTTAATTAGTTTAATTTATTAATATTTGGATTAATTATTAAACTTATTATTAATTATTATTTTAACCCTATTATTTAAACCTATTAAATTTTATTTAAGCTTAAATATAAAAGGAGTATATTAATATAATTATAGTTATCCAATTAATAATTATAGGGTCCTAAATATAATTTATTATAGTTACTTTAATGGTAAAGAGTTTACCATCTATTAATTATAAAAGATTTATTAATAATTTTATATAAAGGGATTTTAAAAAGTTTAAATCCTATTATTAAATATTATTATATTTATTAATATATTATATATATAAGAAGTTATTATATTTTTAAATTTAAATTTTAAACTTTAAAAGGTAATTAATTATATTATAAAAGGTACTATTTAAATAAAGGACTTAAAAGATTTTAAATAAGCTTTAAAGGATAAATATCCTATAAAGCTTATTAATATTAATATAAATATAAAAGATTTTATTTATTTATTTTAAAATAAGGATAAACTTTTAACTTAATATTATATTTATATTTAAAACTTTTTAAAATAAATAAAAGGTAAAAATAATCTTAAATAGCTATCCGGCTTTATTAACCTATTATTCCTTATAAAGGTAACTTTTTTTTAAATAATAATATACCGGTTTATAAATAGATTGGATAACTTTAAGCTTTATTAAGAATTATTAAATAATAAAGCTTAAATAGTTAAATTATTATAGTAATATTATAAAATTATTTAAAAAGTTTAATATATTTTTAAAAATAAGGTTAAAATAATTAATAAAAAGGTAAACTATATAAAAGTTAAAGCTATTTATAAAGCCTTTTAAGATTATAAGGGATTAATAATAGGAAAAGCTATTAATTATTATTTCCTTTAAATATTAATAAATTATATTATTTAATATTAAACCCCTCCTTTTAAATTAATATAATATTCCTTATAACCCTTTTTAAATAATATTTATTAATATTTTTATTAATATTTAATATAACTTTTATAATAGCTTTATCCTATATAATTATATACTTTAAATATTATTAAATTAAATATTATATTAATAAATATCCTTAAAGGATATTTATTACTTTTACTTTTTAATTTAATATTTTATTTAAATTTTATAAAATTAATATTCTTTTAATTAAAGCTATATTAAAGAACTTATTAATTAATAGTATTAAAACTTTAAAATTAAAGGAAAGAGTATATTTTTAATATAAAAGTTAAAAATATATTTAAATTAAATATAATACCCTTTAATAGAAATAATTAATTTAATAAAAATAGGTATACTTTAAAGGTATAATGTTTTTTATTAATAAATATTTAAAAAAAGGCTTTAAGATAATGGAAATTTAATTTAAATTAGTATAGCTTTATTATAAATAATTTTTAAAAAAAATAAGGTAATACTTTAAAACTTATACTTTACTTTTAAACTTAATTATATAATATCCTTTAACTTTATAATAATAAATAAGGTTAAATTTTTAAATAAGGGGATTATTCTTTTTAAAGAATTAAATAATTAAGTTATATTATTTTAAACCTTTTTAATTATAATTATAAATAAGCCTTTATTTAAAAAAAAAAAGAATAGAAATATTATAGTTTTAATTTTATCTTTATTTAATAAATAAGTAGGGAAGGTTATATTAAAACGGAAAAAGGTTTAAGAATTTAAAAATATTAATTAACCTTTTAAACCTTTTATAAAGATTAAAGGATATAAAGGATAAGGAGTTATAAATTATATAAAACTTTTAAATATTATTACTATAAAAATATCCCTTATAAACCTTTTATAATTAAACTTAAATTTTAATAAAAATTTAAAGTTTTTATTTATTAAAGTATTAAAAAAGGTTAAAGGGATAGTTAAATAATATATTAAAATAAAAAAAAATATATACCTAAATATTAATTTAATATTTATCTAATTTATAAAGGTATATAGGATTAAACTTATTATTAAATATTAAAAGGGGGATAAATTAATAAAATAGGTTTTAAATAATAAAGTTAGTTTAATAGATTAAGGAAGTAAGGTAAATATTATATATCCACTTTTAACAAGTAAATTGGGCTTAACTTAAAAGAAAATTAAAGAATTAAGTATTAAATAGCTTATTTTTCTAAATTTATTTAATAAATTAAATCCTATTTATAAATTTATTATCTTTATTATAATAATAATTAATATATTTTAATTAATATAAGTAATTATTTAATTAATTAAAAATAGATTAATAATATAATTTATTTTTAAACTATTATAGCTTTAAAATATAATAGTTATATTTAATATATATAATTTTATATTAACTATTAAAGATTTAGCTATAAAAGAAATACTTATAATACTTTAAGGGCCTATTTTATACTTTGGATTTAAATATAAACTTACTTTAATTCCTATACCCTTTAAAGTAGGAATTTTAATAAATAAGGAAGATTTATTTAAGTTAAAGCTTAAGTTAAATAATTTTAAGGATTTAGAAAATTAAACTTATATTTATAATCTTAATAAGTTAAAAAAACTAAATTGTTATAATATTTATTATAAATTTATATTCCCTATTTAAAATTAAACATTATTTAACTATACCTTTAAGCTATTAATTACTTTATATTTTAAAAAGGTTTATTAAATTTTATAGGCTTATTTATTTATAATTTTATTAAAGGAGTGTTATTTTAAATAATTGGTTATACCGGAGGAAATCCCTTTAATTATACCCTTTAAAGAGTTATCCTTTACTTATTAACGGTTTCCTATAAATAGGCAAATTATAAAAAGAACCTTTACTTTATTATTAAATATATTAAATATAGAAATATTTATTTAATAGGAAGCTTATAGTTTTACCTTTAAATCTTTTATTTTAAAACCTTTAAAAATGTATTATATAAAAGTTTAATATATTTATTAAGATTATAAAGCTATAACTGTTATAAATATAATTATATTAATAAACCTTTATATTTATTAAATAAAATTAATATTAGGGATAAAGCTATAAAATAGATTAAAATAATACTTTTAAATTAATTTTTAATTATATTAATTATATAAGTTTACTTTAAAATATTTTAAAGCTAGCTTATATAAATTTATATATATAATAAATAAGGAATTATTAAATTAAATAATTATACCTATTTTAATTTATAAAGATTTAAATATTAAAGTATATAATCCTTAATTAAAATTAAAACTTATTATTAATTATAATAAAATAAAAGAGGATTTTTTTAAAATAAATCTTTTACTTTTTATAAATGTTTATAATAGGTTATTAAATTTATATATAGGATTAATATTTAAGTTTAACTTTAAATATAAATATTAAGCTATTTTTATTTACTTTAATTTAAAATATATATTTACTTTTAAAATCTTAAAATTCCTTTAATTATAATTAATATATTTATTATAAAGGTTTTAATCTATTAATTATTTATTTTTAAAGCTTATATATATAACTTTAAGTCCGATTTTAAAGTTAACCTTTAAATTATTATTTATTACCCCTTTAGCTTTTAAATTATTAATCTTAACTATAAAATATATTAATAATGTTTTTACTATTTATAAATTAATAAAGGAATAGCTATTTTAAATTAAGTATTATTTTTTTCCTTAAATTTTATAAGTTAAGTTAAAGCTATTCTTAAAACAAGTAAGCATTAAATATAATAAAATTATAATATTAGGAATGATTTATAAAATCTATAAAAAGGTAGTAGTTAAGTATAATTAAT